CTCTCCTGGGAGCATCTCAGGCACAGCCTAGGCTCTGTCACCGTGCACTGCCAATAGCTCCCACAGTGGCACCCAGAACAAGCCCCTGCCCTGGACTGGTCCCCTGCTGGGTGGCTGCTCGGCCATGCCAGAGGGGCTCAAGCCCTTTGCAGCCTCTTTACCTACACACTGGCCTCATTTGCTCCCTGTCCTGGGGAATGAGTGCTGCCCAGTTCATCCCAACTCCTCCCTCTGCCCCTCACACACAGTCACCACATCCCGGGCCCCCTGCTCAGTGAGCTCTCTCCAAATGCTTTCCCTTCCCCTGCCCCTCCACCTCGGGTCACACCACAGCCATCTCCCTGCCCACCACAGTCTGTGGCCTCCTGCTTGCCCCACTAGTCCGCCCTTCTCACTTGTCAAACCAGGCAGGCCTGGCCTGCTTGGCTGTGCTCCCACTGCCCTCCACGGGGCCCCAGCTCAGGGCCTTCACCTGCCCCCACTTTGTCCCCCACTGAGGGCCTGACTCTGCGGGTGCTGAGCACAGTACTGCTGAGAGCAAGGTGCTCAATATGAGTTGGGCAGTGGAGGCCCCGGTGCCATGGGACTGCAGCTTCCACCCAGGTTTCTGCAAGGGACTCTATGGCTGAAGGGTCAAGATACCCTTTGAGAAATGGCTCTGCAGCTAATGAGGAGGCTCAGAGTTTCTTGTTTGTTTATTGTTTAGTACTGGGAATCGAACTCATGACCTCATGCTTGCCAGGCAGGTGCTCATGCCACTGAGCTAAACCCCCAGCCCCAGCGGATGAGGAGGAAGTTAATTTCTAGGATGCTTACTTGTTGATGGATGGAGCCATGATCTACAAAGCCTTGGAGGCTCCTGTTCCCATCTGGCCTTACTGAGACCATTTTTCTTCCTAGAGAAGCCTTCAGTTATGAATTCTGAACCATGTACTATCCTTTACTGTGATCTCCCAGTACCCTCGAGAGGCATTTCAGCACTTGATTCTCACGCTTGTTCATGGGTTTGTGGTGCTGGGGATCAAACCCAAAACCTCAAATCTGCTAAGCAAGTGCTCTGGCCCTGAGCCACATACTCACCCTTCACTGCATGGCCATTTCCTAACACTCTATTTTGCTTATCCTATTGTCAGCAGCATCAACTGTGCTTTTAATTCAGTAAATACTTCTTCATCTGTTGTCTAGGAATCTTTTTTTTTTTTTTTTTGTCTTTTTTCCTTTTTATCGGTACCGGGGATCGAACTCACGACTGCCTGCTTGCAAAGCAGGCGCTTATGCCGCTGAGCTAAATCTCCAGCCCCGTCTAGGAATCTTGAGTGCCGTTTCCCAGTTAGATGGTTTTGAACAAGCTGCTTGATCTTTTTGAAGGGTCTTACTTTTTGATCAGAGTATGATAAGCCTCTGTCCTGGGCCCTAGTTTTAGAGGCTCTGCTGTGGTCTCCTACAGCATCCCTGCCCACAGGGGGAAGAGCCTGTCAGAGATCAAGATTCATATAGTAGTTTGGTTTCCTGCAGAATTAGTGAACACCCTGCACAACTGTACAATGCGGGCTACTAATATTAGTGGCAAGGTGAGTCAAGGTTGAGGATACTGTGGGAGCAGATCTGGTGAATATTAGAATGTGATCAGGAGAAAAATGGGGAATTTGGTGGAGAGTTAAAAGGTCAGTGTTAGTTATGTTTAAAGCTTTGGGTCTCCAAAATAGACACCTGGGCCAGGGATTTAGCTCAGTGGCATAAATACCTGGCAAGTGCAAGGTTGTCAGTTTGATTCCCAGTACCAAAAAAACCCCAAAACGACAACAACAAAAGCAAAAACAAAATAGACACCCAGAACTACTCAGCAACCCCAAATCACCAGGAAGTCCTTGGCACTGAGGTCGAAGTCAAGGCCTGATGGCTGAGTCTGGCCATGGAGGAAAGCCTGCAGGTTGCGGAGACTGAGTTGATTTTCTTGGTATTAGTATTTAAGAGACATGAAGGCACAAAAGGATGTAGGGGGCAGAAGACTTCAGGGTCAGACAACAGAATGTTCCCAGCCACGGAGTCCAGGAGCACGGGGTCTTCAGGAGGTGGGGACACAGTGCCTGTGACCTGCAGAGATCTGAGAACCCGGAGCCTGCGGATGGAAGACAGCTCCTCCACAGCCAGAACAAGGGCTACACATTCAAGCTAAGAGGTCATCTACACCCACAGAACATGGTGGTGATTGGGTGGGATGGGATGGCATGACCTGAGGGGCAGCAGGGTGGGTTGCAAGCAGTTGCAGAAAAGGGGCACTCAGACCAGTGTGTCCCTGGGGCGCAGCAAAAGGTGCCAATCAAGTGTGTGGGTGGTGGGGTGCAGTGCAGGGATTAGAGTATGTGCAGAGAAAAGGGGAGGGACACAGGAAGCTGCCCCCTCACTGTGGAGGATCAGAGTAAGGCAAAGTCCCTGGGGTTGGGATGGGGCTTCTCGGCAGAAGTATGAGCCATCTGCCAAGACGTCCGTAGTGGGCCAGAGGCAGGGTCAGAGAGATCTGGAATGTGTCAAAGCTCCGCCTCTCATATCTTTGGTGTCTGTGTGGCTCTCACAGGAACATGCACTGGAGTACATGGGTTGAACACATTGTCAGGGACCCTTTCCTCCCCAGATGGCAAATGCCTGTTATTTGCATGGTAAGGCCCAAACATGACTAATGACTCTCCAAGGTCAGGAAGCCTACAGGATATCAGTAGAACTTTTATAAGGTATTTATTGAGTTGTGTAGTGAGGTGGGAACAGCAAATACTCTGACAGAGTGAAGATTTGAAATGGCGGGGAGGATGAATTAGACTGTCCATTAAAGCGCCAGGTGTGATGGCACACGTCTGTAACCCCAGATATTCAGGGGCTGAGGCAGGGGGATCGAAATTTTAAGGACAGGCTGGGAAATTTAGTGAGATTCTGTCTCAAAGTAAAATAAAAAAGATTAGGGATATAGCTAAATGGTAGAGCATCCCTATTTGGTCCCCGGCATCACATACACACACAGAGGTTAAACTTTAAGTGCTGTGTGAAGGGCATAAGGGTGGCATAACGGGCAGCAGGGAGAGCTGGTTTGCAGTGGCTCACGTCGGCGGTCACCGTACTGTCTGACACTAGCCTTGGTCCTTGGTCAACTGTGACTGGAAGCTTTGAGTACCTTAAAACAAATGATGGTGCCTATTACCTGCCAGGTCCAGCATGCTTGGCATTCTTACTCTGTACTTTTTTTGATCCTAGGATCAATCTTATATGGCATCATCAGCCTTTTTAAATAAGAGAAAATGGCACAGGGAGATGGAACTGCTCAGTTTACACATGCAGCTGGACAAAGAGGGAGCCATGTTCTTTCCAGAGCTCTCACTATGGCTTAGCTGCTTAAAACCCTAATGCACTGTGGTGTGCATTTATACAAATGCCGTTTGCGGATCATGGGGCTTCTTGCTGTTTCTGTGCTTGGTTTGAAACAGCCAGGTCCCATCTGCAACAAGGTGGTCCTGTCTGGAGAGGCCAACATGAAGAACGGTGGGCCAGCTGGGGCACCGTGGCAGGACCTGTGACTTGTGAGGAGGGTATGGGAATTAAGGGTACGGGCATGTGGTGGAGGAGGATGGCTGTGATGCTTATAGAAATGATCTGTGTATGTGTGTCTTACAAAGAAGCAGATTTGGGTGAATTCATTTTGTAATTCCAACAAATGGGGTCTTAAAGAGCTTGATAATATAGTGATGATCAAATGCTTGTTTAGCCATACACTGAAATACTATAGGCACCTATTAACAAAGATATGGCTCTGGATCACTGATATTTAGATGTATTGTGAAAAATGTCAACATTTTAACCTATTTAAAAAATATACATAAACATGTGATCATAATTATCCATTCTGAAAATTTGCAACCAATGTGGTTCTCTCATGTAGGACTGCAGGTAACTTTTAAAACCTTGCCTTCAAATTCTTTTATTTACATAAGCTTTGTGTAAGAAGAAATGAAAGCCTACCTATATCCAGAGGTGAAATCAGCCTCTGCCGAAGCAGGACTCTCCTGCCCCACTCCTCCTAACACGGGCCAACATGCTAGGGATGCAGGAAGGGGCAGAATTGGTCTCTTTTAATCCAAAAAGGAAACAGCAGGTACAGAACAGTATGATGCTACTGTAGGAAAATAGAGGTGTGTGGGGGCCTCTGGATTGCTGTGTGCACCAGGAAAACTGTCACGACTGTAGGGATCCGCTCAGACGCTCTGAGATGAGCGTTCCTGTGTCTGGAGTGGTCCAGGGGTGATGGGATGGTGCATGAGGCTTTATGGACAGCCGAGTTGCTTGTCTCAGATCCTGGACTGACTTAAGTAGGATATTTCAAGCAGGAAGAAGGGGAAAAAGAGGACGGCTTCCCTCTCCATTTACCACTCTCTCTTCTTCCTCAGTGCACAGGAAGTGCACTTATTCCCTGGTACCCAGGACCTCACACATGTTAGGCAAATGCTCTACCTCTAAGTGCCACGCTTGCCTGTCTCCTTCCTCAATGACAGTTCCCTTCCTAGGAATTTTAGAATTGGTGATCTGAATTAAAGACAAGAGTTCCAGGCATAGGACCTTTTGGGAACTGGGACAGCAAAACCTAGGGTTCCACCTCTGTAGCTCCTTAACAGATTCATGTCCAAACCATCAGAACCAGACAGTATTTAAAAGTTCTTGGCAATTATAAGATCAGAAGATAAAACTTTTAAGAGGACAGCATTCCCAATTTGAATGAAAAAGGAGGACAAAAAGGGAAAGAAAACAAAAAGAAAGGTCCTCTGCTCCCCCCCTCGCCCCAGGTTTAACCGCGCAGACTCTTGAAAATCACTTCATGCAGGTGGCAGGTGGACCAGGAAACGCTGTCACTGCCATTAGCTCTATTTGTGCACCTATACATGATGGAAGGGTGACACTGTAAGGTACCTCAATGTCAATTTAATTCTGATTCAAGAGGAGAAAAAAGAACCCACACTGAATTTGAGTGCAAAAAATAAATATAAAATTTATTAAAACACCCACAATATTTTAAAGATACCAGGAGTAATACAGTTCACAAACCCAGTTGTTTGTGTAAATTATAATAAAATACAAATCAAAAGAGGATACATACTTGCAATTTCTAGGCACCCTAAATTAAATTTACTGAAACACTGGGGGAAAAGGGAGGGGTAAGGAGGGGTAGCTCAGGAGGCAAACCAATAAAGTAGAAGAAAAAATATTAACAAAAAGATAAAAATTATACAAAATAAAATTATCAGCATAAATTTACTGTACTAAGAATATCTACAGTTTAATACACATCCTATTGCCTTGAGACATTGCAAAAATCTATCATTCATCCATCAACCCCAAATAAACTTCATTTCAAGTAGCCACAGTTTACAAAGTCAAGACGGAATATTCAAGTATGGTTGTTAAATTCACCTCCATTGGAAGCCAAGTAACCAAACAGGAATTCAAAGAGATAAGAAATAAAACACACCAGAAAGCTACAGGGGTTCTAGATTAAGTCTAATGCATTAGTATGCCACAAGACAACCAGTCCTTGTTTCTTTAATTAAATACATGAAAAAGAAATGACATCACTCCTGTTTTTCTCCCCTTTTCCCCTAAAAAAAAAAAAAGAAAGAAAGAAAAACAGAAAAGGTATTGGAACTAAGAAAATTTGGAATGTTCAGATGAGCCAATTCATATTTTAAGTCCCCATGTGAAGAGTGATGAGTTCCCCCTGAACGACAGGTTAGTCAAAATGAGGAGAGCACAAACGATACCACTACAAAAATCATCCCTGATATCAGAATAGAAGCAAATGAGGAAGTAGGCCAAATAGCTCGCTGATTCTTAGGCAAAAATCATCTTGAGACCTGGCGTTTCTGCCTGAGGTCTCTGCTCAGGGGAGAAGCCTATTGCTTTGCTCTTGCTGGCAGCTCTGTGGGAGGAAGCGCTGGGCGTGCCAGGCGGGCCCGCACTTGTGGAGAAAGCTATGCATGTGTAGGTGTGGGACTGTATAACCCAGGCTGAGGTATGCACCTCAAAAATGTTAGTTTGGTCCAGGACATGTTGCAGTTGGCCATGTACTACAGCAGATGCAGCTGGCTAACAGACTAGCTCTTGAGGGAGTCATTGCGAATGACAGCAACGGTGACTGAGAAAGCTCAATGAGATGGGCATAGGAAATTCACATTTTATTCAAAAGCAAAACTTAAAAAGGAAACAGAGTCAACCACATTCCATCCTTTAAGCCGTCTGCCATTTTCACTAAGCATGAAAACCAAAATGACCCCAGATTCTTCAAGGTCAAGTATGTCATCGAATACAGAACCTGCAGGTATCAAACCCTCGTGTAATCTAAGTTGTCACAATGTCCTGTTTTTGAGGTATTTTAAAAAAAATTGTGACAGTGGATGATGCAGAAATGGAGCTTCCTTTGAGTTCTTAAAAATATCAACTTCTGTGGACCCAAGGAGAAATTTAGCACCAACTAAAAGCAGTCTGAGTGACATCAAGGGACAAAGAAAGCTCCTGCCTTTAGTCTCAACATGAGGGGCCACTGACAAGCAGTGGAAGCTACGTTGGGGCCACGGCTGGGAGGAGCAAAGAACAAACCCCTTGCCACCATGGTCCCAACCCCTCTGCACCCACTCCATGGCCCACCCTTGAGACTCCCAGGGACAGATCTGCTCAGCACCTGGGCCGCAGGAGAAAGATGTGCAGCTCGGGCTCAGACACAGGCTGTGCTAGACAAGGCAGGAGCACCCGAATCCCCTTCCTCAGAGAAATCCCCGCGTGTCTTTGCCTTCCCATTGGGCCTGAGAAGACAGGCGAGAAACCAAAGCACCAGCCAAGCCAGGCAGGCCCCTCAGCAAGGGGCCTGGGCCTTCTTGACTTGCCTTTCTTTGTTTGGCCACCAAGGGAAGAACAATAAAACAAAACTAAAACTGCTCAGAGCAGATTATAGCATGGTAAACAGAGGTGTAAGAAGACAGCACCAAACGAGGAGGAACAAAAAAAGCTGAGAGAGACTGGAGCCCACCTTGTTTTTGGTTGGTTGTGGTTTCAGAACGTTGATAGCACCTCAGCGAGACAGGATCAGGGACAGTCACATTAAAACACCATAGCACCATTTTATTTAGACTATTTCAACTCATAAAAATGCTTCCTAGTCCATAAAACACACTTCAGTAACAAAAGGAAAGAGATATTGGTTGAGGCACGTCAAGGATATATCAGAGTTTTCCACCAGCTTTGCCTTGGTTGGGATCACGGGGTGGTTAAACATCAAGATCAAAGTCTGGCTGGGTTTCTCTCAGAGAAGTCAGGTCACCATCTACTCACTGCCAACCACTCTCACTCATCTGCTGCTGTCTGCTGCAAAGCAATTAAGCTCTGCGACTTCTTTCCTTTCTATAGTGCTTTAAAAATCCCTTGCTCTGCAAACGACTGTTTCCAAAAGAGGCAGGGAAAGGATCAGAAGGGGCAGGTGGAAAACCTTTCCGTACACACCAGTGTCCACCTCAGGGAGAAGGCAAAGCAGCACCCAGGAAGCCAGGTGTGGGGAACCGAGGCCCTGCAAAAACCAGACCCCAAACAAAACCTCCCAAATCTGTGCAACACCATTAGTCCAGCTTTCTGATGGTAAGATGATGGTTTCTTGAGCTAGCACCAGTTATTGGGTGAGAACCTGCTGCGAAGTGATTTTGACTTAAAAAAACAAAAAACAATCTCTTAGCACAGAACTTTGCAAGTACTTCCCTTGCATACAACAGGCAGGGGAAACGAAACAAAGCGGAAAAAAGGAACCAAACATTTGCACTACATGTGGCTGGTATCTGTGGACAGGGCACAGTGGGGCGATGACTACAGGACTCCGTCGTTTTCTGTTGCTATGTTATCCTTAAAACTTGGTCATGCTGTTAGGTTCTTTAGTTGCAATGGCTTTATTTTTCTTCTTGTGATAAAAATGTTTGTCAACCATCTTTAGGACTTAAAAAATGATAATGCCAGTAAAAAATAAAAATTTGATTTTTTTTTAAAGAAGCCTTCAGCAGCAAGGGGGGATAAAGAGCTGTGCATAGTTACTTTTTAAATATTATGTCTAAAGCATGCTAATTTCAATGACTGAGATTTGAGGTAGGTTATACATGTAGTGTGTAAAAATCAGCATGGGTTTGAGCATGGCAACAGCACCAGCTAATTCTCAGGACCCTGCTCAGAGGGGCGTGGGTGCATTCCACGGAGCCCGCCTCTTGACTCACTTCTTAACAGCCTGGTTCCAGCCTTGAAGCTAATGACCCCAGGCTGTGTGGGCTGGGGGACAGACATCACATGCTAGTAGCTTGTATTGGTTTCTCCTTTCATCTAATGGCTTTGCTACCAAAGGGTGACAAGGGGAAGAGCATAGTTAACAAACATCAGAGATCCACACATGCCAAGCGTCAGAATCATCTAGGTTACACTCGGGACCTTCCAAACCAACAGCCAACCTGGGGCTTCCATGGGTCAGACAGACGGTCACATTCTCCACATTTTGTAAAATATCGTATTTCTTGCTTAAGATCATTTAAAATGAAGTTTTCAAGGCACCCCCGCATCTATCTAAGCACGGAGTCAAATGAGACCTGCATAAAAGTACTGATGCGATAAGCAAAATAGCATTTAAAGGACCCAACTTTTCCTCAAAACTAGAAAATTAGCATGCTCATTAAAGACTCTGCTTCCTTTAGCTTGTCAGACTGAAGGTCAGAGGTTTTCCTATAAATCTGAGTTCTGAATAATTCTAAATCCTGATAAGCTCTTGGGTATTTATTTCAAAAGCAATAATATTTCATTTTTGTCCTGTAAAATAAATGCAACTTTACAGATTATGGTAAAAGTGGAGGATAGACAAAGCTTGTTAAATATTCAGCTACTATTTACAATTTCTCCCACAATTACATGTTAAAACGTACTTTTTTTTTTCAAGTTGCTGTTTAAATCTAGGCAAAAGTGCTTAAAAAAATCTTTTCACTATTTACAGTTAAAACCAGACCACATAAATGCTCAGGACATCTTACAGCGACTCTCCGCCAGTGCTTCCGAAAAGTTACAGTAAACACTCAGCGGATTGGTCTCAGCTCTTACACAAGGCACCTGGAGGCTCAGGAGCTTGCCTTTAGTACTGTCATCTGATTGTTAAACTCACTTTACGATGACCCACATCTAAATAAAACTGCTTAATAAATATCTGCTTGGCCATCACATGCTGTGTAGCCACACCCCCTGTGTGTCCGGATGAAGCCCCCACTCACCACACATGTTCGTTCACACGGGTAGCTTGAGATCATTTCCTCCAATACCACAGGAAAAACAAGCACTCCGAGAAGTCTGACTGGCTGTAGATGAGTGTTGCTTCCAACTGTCTGCCCCAACCTCTCTCAACAATGACACAAAAATTAAGCACCACATTCTCTTCTCAAAGAACTAAACGAATGCACCAGAATTTTAGAATGGGTGTGATACAAGGGATGGAAAGGGGAGGGAGGAAAAAAAAAAAAGAGAATGATCCAATGGAGAACTGGCACCAATAGGGGAGGAAAATCATAGCAACCTGTTGAAAACGTTTGACTCTTGCACTTTAAGTGTAGGCCCTGCCTCCACGGAGAGCAGGAGGGGCTGGGCCAGGGGAGGCATGCACCATTATCCAAGGTGGAGATCCAGGAAAAAGACAGATGTGTTAACTGCTGTTACACTGGTTTGCTGAGCTCCCGCAGGACGCAACCTGCCCAAGAGTCAAAGTCCCAGCACAACACTACAGCACCAGGCTCTGCACAGCTCCACGCACAGAGCCAGCGAGGCTCTTCACAGCTTGGGTTCAACTTCTGTGTTAAGAGATACAGTAGCCCTTTTTCGGTATCAGCATAGACTTCTGGGCGATTTTTAAAAAATTGCCACTAAGACAAATTCCTTCGGCCAGTATTCATTGCCTTATCAACGTGGTGGAGAGGGTTCTAGGAGCCTCTCAACTCCAGCTTCAGCGTGAGGTGCTGCTGCCTAGTGAACTATGACATCCTGTGGACTTGATAAATAACGGACACAGAGGATTCAGTGTGGAGACTAGCAAGCTTGAAGCTGTCTACTTTCAACCTGGTTTCTGGGGAGATCTATGCCAGTGTACCCTGGGTTGGGCCTGGCGTGCCTCTGCCCAACTGCTGACTGAGAAGGGGCCCCAGGTGGTTTTCTGCAGCTTCTCCCATCCTCCAGCAGAGGACAGAAGCTGGTCTGGGGGCTCCCTGCCCATGGGGAGGGAGGGGTACACTGGGGCTACACGCTGCACTTGGCTCACCGGGGCAGATGGCCGAGAGAACCTATCAGTTCCTAAGAGGCTGGGCTTGCCGGTGGGAACAGCACTGCTGGCCTTTCCTGCCCATCCGTTACCATTACTATTGTCGCTTTTAAAAAATCCAATAAATACACATTTTAAATGGAATTTAAAACTACTCCTTTGTGAAAGGACACTATAAACTTTCTTTCCATTATTGTGATATACAAGGATAGAGTTTTAAAAACAAAGGAAATAAAAGCCCCTCCAACAAGGGGAAAAATAAAACAATGTGGAGATATAAATATTAAGATCACGGAAAAAATCACCCGACAGCCGTAGTTTCTTCTTCAAAGTGCTGGGGACGAGGGGGGGGGGAGGGAGAGGCGGGTCAGTTCTGAGGTTTGGACCATAAATACATATATATGATAGGCATATCCATATATGTATATATAGATAGAAAGACTTCTGCACCCCCAACCCGCCCCCAGGTGTGAGGGCAAAAGCACCACAGAGGCAGCTCGGGCTGGGCCCGACGCTGAGGTACGCTGGCTCCCTGGCACCTAGATCCAGCGGCTGTAGGGGCCAGTGACCTTCGTGTAGGCGTAAGAGGACACGGTGACCGCTGAGTCTGTGGGCACGGCCAGCGCCTGCCGGGTGGGGACCATCCCCTTCTTCTCCTTGTGCTGGGGCTCGGTGACCATAGCGCCCCCCCACTTGCGCTTCTTCCCGTAGAGCCTGGCCTCCTGCTGGCCCAGGCCTAGCCGCGCGGCCTCCTCCTGCCGTGCCCGCGCCCGCTCCGCCAGCTGCTTCATCTTGGCCTCCCAGAGGGCCAGCCCGTGGTTGGGCTGGTTGAGATTCTTGTGCTGGTAGAAGACCAGCGAGATGCGGGTGGGGTGGCAGCGATTGGGCTTCTTGAGTGGCGTGGTGGCATGCAGCTCCCGCCGGGCACACTCAATGAGGATGGAGCCGTGCGCAGGGGCCACAGCGACGCCCCCGATGTTCTCGTCCAGGAAGTTGTGTTCACTGTCCGACCACAGCTCTTCTTCCTCCTCCTCCACACTGGCCTTCTCCTCCTTCACTGCCCCCTTGGTGGGGGCCTCCTCAGCCGTCCCCTCCTCTAGGCTGAAGGGATCCCACAGCTTCTCTTCAGACTTCAGGGCCCCGAACAGCTTCTCACTGGAGCCCAGGGGCATCCCGAAGGCCTGCCAGGCCTTGTCCAGATGGCTTGCCCCCGGCGTGGGAATTCTTCCATCCTCCCCTTTCACTGGATTCCACAACTTGTCTTGGAACCCAGGACCACCTTTCAGGGCAGAGCTGAAATCCCCTACCCCTACCCCCCAGGGCTTTTCAGTCAGGCTGGACCCAGCCAAGGCTGAGGTGCTGTTCCCAAACTTGCAGGGGCTCCATGATTTGCCTCGCAGCCGTCCTCCAGGATGGGGAGCCAGCTGCTGCCCCTCACCGCCAAACAGACCCCACTGGCCATCTGGGAAGTGAGAAGGGGTTAGGCAGCTGGTTCCAAAAGAACTGAGCTTATCAGGGACAACGGCAGGGCTCTCCCCGGAAGGGAACACACCCCAGCTGCCGCCCATACTGTTAGTCCTCTTCGGGGACATGCTTGGGCCTCCTGAGTACTGTCCCCATAGATGACTGGTTCCCCCATTCTGAGATGCTTCGGGCAAGGGTGTTTTGCCTATCTTGCCAGGGTCTCTGGGTACAGATTCGGTCTGGACCAGTGGGTCTACTGGCTCTTGCTTGATGGATCTATTGTAGCAGTTGGTGCTCTGAGCAAAGGGAGAGGGGTCCCTGGACACTGGGTGGAGCGGGGGGGCCTTGGGAATGAGATACTCCTTGGGGCCTGGGTAAGCAGGCTGCTGGTGGTGAGGAGTGGGGTGGTGGGTGTCCGTGGGAACAGCCTGGCCAGGCAGCTCAGCAAACTCAGCACCACTGTAGGCCGGGCTCAGGCTGTTGTGCAGAGCATGGAGGTCTGGCTTCTTCTCAAAACTGCCACTGCTGCCACTGTGCCCCCAGGCACCGGGACCCAGGAACTGGGAGGGGAAGACGGGGTTGCTGGATGGAAAGCCATAGTAGCCAAACGACGGAAGAGCGTACTTGGAGTGGAACCCGTTGACGGAGGTCAGGCTGGGCTGTGCATAGTAGGAGTGGTAGGAGTACACACTGTTCATGCTGTAGGGGTCAGAGGGCCGGCAACTGCCCAGCACCGAGTAGCTCTCCACCACTGCGTTGCCACTGTACTTGAAGGAGCTGAAGTGGTTCTGCGGCTCCACCTTGAGGGAGGGCTTCAGGCTTTGTTGGGACAATCCACCTTTCAGGGACAGGCCTGGGGAAGCAGAAGGCAAGGTGAAAAAGCAGCCAACCAACCACCCCACAGCCTAGCAAGGTCTGAGGTAGAGGACTGGGGATGGAACCGCTCTCATTCCGAGATGTTTCCTTTTTCTTGAGAAGCAGGACATGTTGGACATGCCCAAGGTGGGATCCCACCCTGACCCCTAGGCCACCCCTAAGTACAGACCCCAGCTCCACTTCAGGTGGAAGGAAACAACTTGCTCAAAGTCCACGGCCCTTCTACATCAGTCCTATTACCCTACTGATGCTGAAGTTACCCCTGAAGTACAACCGCCTGCAGGCACCAAGGCCGGGAGAAATGACAACTCGGCCCCGGCCCCAGCCCCGGCCCCAGAGCCATGTTCTCCTCAAGATCCCAAGCTTCCCCTCCACCAAGCACAGCTCCCTGAAGACAGTGCATCCTCCCTGCACTTACTTCCCCTTCCTGGTGCTTCCTGTCAGGTACCTTAATACCACGAAAGCAGAGGCCCAAGGACTCCGTCTTGAACTGTCAGCATGATGCAGCAAGGTGGGCGGTGGGGCTCAGTGAGGGGATACCGTGAAGGAGGGTGCCCATGCCAGCCCTGGTGGTACCCTCTCCACACACCTGGGTCTGTGGGGATCCCGGCCAGCTCCAGGGCCTCTTGCTTGATCTTTTCAGGGGTGCTCAGCTTCTCCTTCTGAATCATCTTCTTCTTCTCCGCTGCTGCCCTCCTGGCTTCCAGCTGTCGCTGGCGGCAGGACTTGGCAGGTTCAGGCAGGCGCCGGACCTCTCGAGGGAAGGCGGTGAGCACCTGGATGGCCCCACTGCTCACCTTGGCATTCTGGTTCTCCTCACTGCCAAACTCATCCGTGCTGGCCATCTTGTACAGGGGGAGCACGTGCAGCTGCTCATCCTCGGGAATCTGGCCCACACACCGATTGTCTTCCTTGGTCAGGGTGCACACCTGCCTCACACAGTGGGGAGAGAAGACATGGGGCTGGGGACCAAGCACCGGGAGGAGGCAGGGGTCCAAGTTTGAAAATGTGACCTCATTCCCCAAGCGGTCCCACTGCCAGCCATCTACATGAGCCGCCCATCCTCAACTGCTTCTCAGAGTCTAAAACGCACCTTCACTGTGGCCCACAGAATAACAGCACCAGTACTGTGTAGAATATGTGCTACAGCTCTCAAAGCAGGTCTGCTCAGTTACTACCTATGTCCCTGACACAGCTCTGAGGGGATGGGATGACCGGCACAGGGTCACACAGCTGATGAGGGCGGGCGCCATGGCCAGGAGACCCACTGCCCGTCCCCCCAACCTTGCTGCCGCCACACATCACCTGGCTGAGCCTCAGACCTTCCACCCCCATCCGCCTCATCTTGAACACTCAATTTCTTTTGTTCTTAAAATAATTTTTTTTTTAAATTAAGAAAACTATGTTCTGGTTGTGTAAAATTTGGGCAAGCAACCAGGGAATAACAACTATCTCTATAAAATCACTACTCAGAAATAGTCATTGTAAACATTCAGGTCATTTATATATACACGTGCACACAATTATTTTTTGGTCATTAAGTAGGACACTATGTACGAAGTATTAACTTCATTTTTCTTAACATTCTTTCTTATGTGTTATTAAATATCCTTCCCTGATAGTTTTTAAGAGCTCCACAGTATTACTCTACTTTATCAATGTGTTACTTAGTTCCTTTATTATCAAACATTTCAACTTCTTTCCAGTTTTTCCTGACCGAAACAATACTTTTCGAAATTGTTCAGCTACATTTTCTAAGATGCCTAATTCCTTGGAATAAATGCTGTGAAGCAGGCCTGCCACATATAGCACTGCCAGTGCTCTCCAAAATGATTTTCACTCACACCAAAACCCGAGTTTTAATTTCTCCATTTTTGTCAATAATTTAAGCATTGCATTCTTAGTTTATAATTCTCAATGAGGCTCTTCCCCCCACCCCACCCAATTTTCCTTTCTTCTACTTTATTTTCTGTATTCTTGATGCTCTGGCTTTTGGGCCTTGTTCCTGGAAAGACAGGCCTTCCTAGACTAGCCAACTCCTAGAGATAGCAAATGACCCTGTGAATGCACCTTTGATACACAAACCAACCAATATGGAAGTCCAGCTACCTCCTCATCACACTCACACAGCAAGCCAGTATTTTCCATGCCCTAAATCACCCTTGGGCCAGGTGCCTACAGGTATCTGGGACCACCTCGCATACCCCAAAACCTGCTGAAATTATCTATACTATTTAGTCCTAAACTTTTTCAGTGTACCTACCCTGCCCTGCTCATTGCTTCCTGTAGAACACAGTAAAGGCTCCAGCCCCCATTTCCCTGGCTCTCTGTGCCTCCTGGTGATCCCTAGTTATCTCCGTATGGCCCCTGCATGGCATGTAATGTGAACACAAACTTCTTCTTTGATCACAGTCATTTCTGTATCTGAAGACACCTGATTAAAACAAATCCTGGATATATTTAAACACAACTCTTCTGCCTTTTATGAGCTTTACGCCTTTTGCTTTTTTTTTTTTTTTTTTTTTTTTTTGAGACAGGGTCTTGCTTTTGTTTTATTCAGGCTGGCTTTGAACTCACTATATAGTCCAGGCTGGCACCAAACCTGCCTCAGCCTCCCTAGTGCTGGGATTACAGGTGTGCACCACCACACATGGCTGGCCTTTACATTTTCATTGTGGTGCTTTATTTATTGAAAAGAGACTTCATTTTCATGGTAGCAACTTTATGAATCCTTGCATTTTGACTTCCTACTTTAGGTCATGCTCCACACAGGCTGTTTCTCCCCAGGGCACAGAGCTCTCCAGACCTCAGCTGGAGGAACAGCCTGAAGACACAACATGACCTCACTGGTGTAAAGTTTTATATAGCTGTGTACACACACACACACACACACACACACACACACACCTGAATAGTCATCAAATGCTAACAGCTGTCATCTCTACAAGATTTCAGGCAAATCTTTTTTATATTATTTAAAAGTCTTACAGTGATGGTGATTATTAGGGAAAATACTTTTAAGTTTGAAAAAAATAGTCTTTTGGTTCACCTGAATTCTAGAAGCTCTGCTTGCCTATCTCCAGTGCTCTCTCCTGTACCTCTCCCTGAACCCCAAAAAGCCTGTCCTTCCTGTTTCAGCTAAGCATCCTGATGCTAAGGGGAGACAGCAACTGGCACACAGGGTCAGAAGATGGGGTGGAGATGTGAAATTCTGAAACGGGACTATCATTTCTCACATGGTTAAGAGCTACAACCAGTCTAGAAGCCTCTGCACCTTCCACAGCTCCCAGGAGCTCCTCACATAGGACCTGGTTGAAAAGCAGAGTAAACACTGGCTGCACCCCTCTGAGCCCAAGCCTCTGTCTGCTCTGTCCACACTCTCTCCCCTGGGGAGCTACCCGCCTCTCAGCTGTACCGTGCTCTCCAAAGCCTCCCTCTGCCCTGCCTGCTCCATATTTCACCTGTACATCTGACACGCATCTCCAAAAAGGATGCTGGATTTTCTCTGGTCTCTCCCTATTATTCTACTCCAAGGTTAATGGCACCAACATACTTGGCTGTTTAAGCATCTCTTATCACTTTATCCCTTGCTTACTTCATTTTTTCTCTCTTACGTTCTTCATTGCTACACAATGCATCACACACTTGGGTGAGGACTTAGTCCATTTTATTCCCCAGGCCCTAGCCAGTGCTGGAAACCAGAGCTGACGCTCAATGCAAATTTATTCTGTAAATGAACTAAGGTTTAGATTTAAATGCAAGTGTTCCGAAACCCGGAACTATACAGATAACTGGGGACTTCAGACCCCTATGCAGCATCTACCTAAGACACAGCACCCATGCCCAGCACTGTTCACTCATCCCAGTGAGGGCTTCTCTGAGGAGATGGCAGGAGCAAGTAGTTCTGAAAATCCTGTTTCCAGGTCCCTCCATATCCTGAGCTCACTTTCTGCACAGAACAGCTAGGCTCTCTCTCAGGGTAACCATGCAGCTGGGGTTGGGGCAGGACACAAGTTTCCTTACCACAGTGCACCCGTTATAGAGGTTATGCTGGTCCTTGTGGGCGTGAGCGCAGAAGTCCATGCATGCTGTGACTCCCGAGAAAGGCCTCCCTTCCTTTAGCCCCAGGCGGCAGTCAATCGCTATTTCCTCATTGGTCACCTGTGAATGGTCCAGGAGAGCTGCTTATGGGACCTGAGGTGAATGGCCCTGACTCTGTATCGGAGGAACCTTGAATTTATACTAGGGAGGGAAGTTTTCTGACTAAGTCCTCAGCTCCAAAACAGTTCTTTTTTCTTTTTCTTTTTTCTGAGACAGGGTCTCACTATGTAGCTCAAGCTGGCCTTGAACTCACTGTGTAGGCCAGGATGGCCTTTATCTGGCCATAGTCCTCCTACCTCGGTCTCCAGAGAGCTGAGATTACAGGTGTGTGCTATCACACCTGGCCCAAAACAATTAGTTTCAGGCCCTATGGGAATTGTCTCCTTTGGGGTTACCTCAGTTAACTCCAGCCTCATCTGGAAGATGCAAGACTATGGAAGGAGCTCCTGTTTCAGCACTAGAAACCAGACCAGACGGGGTGGATGATTGTAGGCAGAGGAGCTGTAGACCAGGGGCTTTGGAGACACAATGTAGGGAGTGGCATAAAAAAGAATATCAAAGAACCACATCTTTGCTTAACATGTGAACTGGGCTCCTTCTGTAAGAGTTCAAAGAGGCCCACATTCCCATATCCCAACTTGAGGGAACCTTAACCTCCCCTCTGGGCAGAGGAATGGATGCCATGTGGGTAGGAAAAGGCCCAGGTCTAATACCTGGTTCTGATAAGCCTGGGGGGCCAGCCGCTTGTACAGGGGAGCAACTTCAGTGGCCAGGTCCTGGAAACTCTTCCGGAGCACCTCTTCCTACAGAGAGAAGAACAGTCGTCACACATCCAGAGTTCATATGGCAGGCATGAAAACCATGAGCGGCTGGTACACAGGGGTCTGCCCTCCAAGCTGGAAGCTGTTCGTGCATCCTGGGCCTAACTGGAGCGGTAACTCAGCAGCCAGTGTGCAGTGACTTTTCCTGTAAGCCTCAGACCCTCATCTTTTGCTTTCAGTTCCCATTTTTATTTTTATTTATTTATTTTTTTTGTCTTTTTCCTTTTTATCAGTACCGGGGATTGAACCCAGGACTGCCTGCTTGCAAGGCAGGTGCTTATGCCGCTGAGCTAAATCCCCAGCCCTCAGTTCCCATTTTTAAAGTGGACACGGCATAGACTATAGAGCGTTAGCTTAGGGGGAGTACCTGCCTAAACCACTGAGGCCCTGGGTTCAATATCTAGTACCATAATAAAATGATATAAAAAATTTAAAAATTGACAAAACGGGCACGACAGAGGGAACACTGTAAAACCCCCATGGCACTTGACTTTCCACTCATTGATGCCCTGGGATGGTCTACATGGTGGTTCACTTCCAGTGTGCAGTTTACTCAGCTGGGCTACTCCTGTACAAGTATTCCTACCAAACCACAGGATTCTGTACCAGAAATCCCACGGCTGGTGGGATCCAGAGCCTGTCACAAGCCAGGTATTCAAATAGCTCCAAAGCACAGTAGCCACCATACCCGTATCACCTAATTAATGTATTGTTTACAAACCACATGTGGCTAATGAAATGTAAAATAATCTTAAATAAAATTATAGCTTCAGTCCTTCAGCGATCCCCATCACATTTTTTTTGTTTGTTTATTTATTTATTTATTTTTTTGGTACCAGGATTGAAGTCACGACCTTGTGCTTGCCAGGCAGACACTTATGCCACTGAACTAAATCCCTGGCCCTTCCCACCACATTTTGAGTGCTCAGTAGCTTCATGTTTCTCCTTGACTGGACAGCAGAGAACATTTCCATCATCAGAAAAAGTTCCACTGGATGGCACCACTTTAGACAAGGCAGAACCACCCAGTTACGATTAGGAGAGTCAGACAGATACAGTTTCTCTCCGGCCTTACACAGTAGCAAGCAGGGCTTGCTGGAAGGCTTTGAACACAGGCAAGAGTTCACGAAGAATTAAGCAGGCAGAAGTGGGGAGAGGAAAAAAACCAAGAATACAGGATTAGAAATGGAAATTAAGAGCAGTGGCTCAGCTGTCTCTTTAGTGGAGTGGCCAGGGCCTAGCCACCTTCCTGGCTGTGCAGCACAGTGGACCTCAAGCCAGCAGAGCAGAGATGAGGATGAGTCTGGAGATATGGGCAGGTTTGGCACTGAAGCCTGGCTTCCACATCAGCTGGCCATAGGGCCTTACTCAAGACACTGGCGTCCCTATGAACTGAGGGAGCAGTGCCCAGATCAATGCTAAGTCCTGAAGTTAACAGAACTCTGTGAGGTGGTCACCATAGTACTGAGCATGTTCACCAATAACAATGCAGTAACAAATGCATTTATTGCTTTAGAGAATAGTAGATTCCACCTTAAATAAAAGTCCAGTATCACTTTAAGGGAGCTATTTTAAGCTCACAATATAATCTAAAAGCTAAGTTTGGGATGGGGAATAAAAGAGTTGAAAATGCTTTCTTTTGTCTATGGAGAGGAAAGTTTGGAGGTGAGAGCATACATTTTTATAGCGGCTATGGTGCAGAGAAGAGGTGCCCAGTGACTGCCTGTCATATGGGACACAAGGAAGGTCTTCTAGCACTCAGTGCTTGAGAGCTGGAAGGTTCAGATGGGATCAAGATGCTGTTTAGATCTTAGCAATGGGAGCCAGCAATAAGACCCAGTATGTGCCACTCCTCAGGAGCTCAGGCAAGAGGGGAGAGTCTGGAGATGAAATGATGTGAGTCCAAAGGGTCAGAGGGCCTGAGCCATCTTTGCTTTTGGAATTCTGAGTGGAGACTTATCTCTTTCTCTTGATAAGGCTGTTAAGGCATGGGTCACAGAAGAAATGGCAAAATGAAGCAATTTGAGCTGATAGTCATGGCTTCCACATCCTCAGTAGGACCAGCAATAGAGACACAAGGACCCTGTCCTGTGGTCCATGAGATGAGGGAGAGGCCCTGTGGGTGGGGCCCTGGTGAGGAGACTGCAGAGAGGAGCTGTATTGTGAGAATGCCAACCCAGAGTCCAAGAACAAAGTCCCCAGTATGGAGGCAGTGGGGCCTGGACAACTACCCAGAGTGTCTGTCAGCAGCCAGGCAGGACAAGGGATGCCTCGGAAGTCCAGCAAAGGCTCAGAGGGGCTCACACACTGAAGCCCCTGTTCCTCTGCCACCCAAAGACATGTAACTGGGAAGAAGAAATGACCCTTTGAGAGGATCAAATTCGGATGAGGAATCTGAATATGTATTTTAAATATTTACTTTAAAGCAACTTACTTAATTTCAAGAGTCGGAGGCACCTGTACCTGGGAAGTCTAACTTTCAGGCTGCCTGCCCTGCACACAGCTTGTTTCACAGCAAGAGAAGGTCATTTAAAACACCAAACGCAAGCAGGTTACATTTTCTACACACCTGTATTGTGGCTGCCCATCCTACCCCCATGTGACTTAATGCCCTCAGGTGGGAAAGGTAGAGAGGGTCGGTCTTTGTGCTCCTGCACAGCTCTGCTCACCTCCTTGGGATTGTCTCCTGCGAGGCGGAACTTGCGAGGTGTCTTGCTCCGAGCATATTTGCAGCCGTTGAAGTACATGCTCCAGGAACAGCCAAAGGAGAAGGAGGCACCACAGGTGTTAGGATCTTTGCCTTGGCAAGCGCAGGTCCGGCTGAAATATACAAAGATGGGTTGTGCATATACATGCATTATCTGTGTTCTGGAATCTTCTTCTGCCCCCGAGGGGAGGCCTTGCTGAAGCCTGGCAACCAGAAACTTCCCAGTGACTGAGGCTCATCCTTCCCTGCCCCTTCCTTCCTCAAATTTCCTGGAGCACAAAGTTAGCTCCCAGAAGCCAACTCTGTGACAGTCCTGAGCTGTAATGTCTAACCAGAGTCTGCCATTGGGGGAAGCATGTGAGTTAAGACAGAAGGACGAATCAATAAAAGCCTCATGGGGGCCACATTTTGCCTTAACTCCAATATCCTGACCAGCTCTAAAGTTAGACCCTCCAAAAGTGAATGCAGTATGTGAGCCTCAGGGTTGGCTTCCTACAGCTCAGATGCTGGCAGGCCGTGAAATGCACACACACTAACATTCAAACTCAATGCTTAATAAAATCTGGAAACAACCCAAACTCTCCTCAACTGGGGAATGGGTAAACAAATGTGATGCCTCCACACAGTGGAATACCACTCAGTGAGAAAAGGAAGGCACGCCTGACACACGTCAGCACAGATCAGCTTCAGAAACATCATGGTTGGTGCAACAAGCTGGGCTCAAAAGGCTGCACACTGTGTCATCCACCCATGTCACACTTTCACAGAGGCAAGTCCACAGGAACAGGAAATGAGGCGTGGTTGCCAGGCAGTAGGAGAAAGAGCTGCTGCTAACAGCCATAAGGGAATTTGGGGGGTGATGCAAATGTTCTGCATCTTCACTGTGGTGGTGGCAGACGTGTCAAAACTCTCCAAACTATATACGGAGAAGGATGAATGTCATTGAAAGTAAATACACTTTAGCCAAAAAAGAGGAAAAAGCACCAATAAAGGTCGGCTTTGTAAAGATCAATACCTTATGTCTGTCACATACACAAACCCTTTTCCACCCTTGTTAACAACAGTATTAGGGTGTCTGTATTTAACAGTGAAGCTAGGCCAAGTCAACCGGCTTTCTCTGGACCCAGGTCAGGGTCTGAGGGGAAACAGTCCTCAGCCCGGTCCCAGCTCTGCAGACAAATGACCCAGAGGAGAGAAAACTTAGCCAGGACTGCCCAGAACCTGTGTACCTGCCACCCAGGGCCCTGCCAGGGCCCCTTCGCCCCACCTCCCCTGCCTCCATCCTCTGAACCCTACCACATACTCATCATTGAGGCCGCATCTCCGGCTGGTGGGGTTCCCGTACTTCCGGAGGGTATCAGTGAGTTCTTGGTAGAGGGTGTCTCCCAGGCTGCGGGGGATGCCTTCCCAGGCCAGGATGAGGATGACGATCACGGCGTTCTGGCAGTGGTGGCCTGCTCGGTGCCGCACCAGGCAGAGTAGCTTCTCCTCCAGCGTGTGCCTGCGGATCACCTGCAGGGACATTGGGCTACACTGTTATCTGCTGCAGACACAACCCTCCACTGCTACACAGACCTGGGAGCGAAAGTCTTTAGGGAGTGTTCCACAGGTGTCATTCTAGTGACAGCAATCACATGTGCTAAGCGATTATTATAACTAAGGAGTGAAAAAAACAAAAATTTTAGTAACAACAAAAATATCCATCCTACTCTAAAGTCTAAGATATTTGGTGCCTTACATACATTTAGGGGTTAAAAAAATACAGATAAAATTGTAAGCCAAAATACAGGCAGAGATTTTATGCTGTCCTAAAATATTTGCAGAGAAAATGTGGCATATTTATGTGTTGTTAATTTAAAAAAAGAAAAGGGCCTGGCATTGTGGGAGATAGTTTGTGGTTCCTTAGAAAGCTAAATGTACAGTTAACATATGAGGTGAGACTGGAAGCTATGGTGGACATTTAAGTAAATAATTTATTACAGTAAAAAACACACTGCCATTAATCCTCTTTGAAATCCTCCCCCTTACTTTAAATACACTTGTCCCATCCCTCTTGCCACTTTCTGAAGCAGTTACAGAAGTCCTCTTTCATGATGGTCCTTAGTTGTGCTATCATGGCTGCGGCAATGTCCTGAACGGATTCAAAACATTAATTCTCAAGGTCATTTTGACTGAGGAAGAGCCAAAAGTCCACAGCACTGGATCCCATGAGTAAGCACCTTTTCCTCTCAGACCTGGGGACTGAACCTATGGCCACTGCACCAAGTTACAACACATCCTTTTTTTTTTAAATTTTGAGACAGGGTCTTGGTAAGTCACTAAGCAAGCCAGGCTAGGCTTAAATTTGCCTGCCTCCCAGCGTGCTGGGGTAACAGGTGTGTACCACCATGCCCAACCCATACCACAGTGTTTTTATGAGCATTTCTGTTTTATGAGCATTTATGAGTTTTCTGCTGGATGTCACGTCGCAGCAGCATTCCCTGTATATTTGATCATATAAAAAAAAAAGACTTCTAGCACTGCTGGAATGGTAAGAATGATGAGATAAAAGTAAGGGGGAATACTTTACAGGCACCAATGACAACTGTCTTTTAGTGTAAAAAAAAGTAAAAAAAAACCATTTACCACATATTTTAATCACTCCTTGTATGATTCAGCAATTCTAATACTTGCAATGTACACTCAAAAGAGAACTCTATCTCAGATAACTGCACACACGTCATGTGCATTGATTCACAAGAGGCAGAAATGACTCAAGTGTCTATCAGATGATAAACAGGTAAAAATACAGTATCTATGCACAACACAATATTATTTGGCCATAAAAAGAAATGAAATTCTGACACATGAAAGATAGATGAACCCTGAAAGCATTAAGCTAAGGGAAGTAAGTCAGACACAAAGGACAAATATTTTATGATTTCACTAATATGAAGTCCCTAGGATAGAGTCACAGAGACAGAAGGAGATTAGAGGCCATCAGGGGCTGGGAAGGAGGAAATAAGGAGTTACTATTAATGGGTAGTGTCTCACTTGGGGATAAGGCTGAAGTTTTGGGAACAGCCTATCATGACACTTGGGTAACAATATGGACATGTTTGATACTATTCACCTGGACACTTAAAATTTTATTATATATGTCAATTATGACACACACATACATACCACAATTTTAAAAAATGATATATAAAAACTGCTGAACTGTGCACTTCAAGTGATTAAACTATAAAGTCTGTAAATTATTTCAATTAATTATCTTAATAAAGGTTTTTTAAAAAATGGCTCTGGATACAGCACTGCTCTGCTGCTCAGCCCCTGGCCCTTCCCTCATTTAGGTTCGAATTCCCTCCCATATAAAAAGATGCCTGGGGACAAAGGTCCTGGGAACCAGGGAGGGAGGTGACTGAATCCCCCGCAATAACTGTGACCATATGCAAGAAGGGAGTCTGCGAGCAGGGGTGGGCGGAAGATGGAGGAGAGAGGAGAGGCAGGCAGAAGGACAGGCATGGGATCCATAAAGGCATGTAAGCAAGGTCTTACCAAACAGTCTCACACCCTAGGAAAGCGGGGAACGTGCCAGGAAATGAAGACAGAGAGACCAGCTGGGAGATCACTGACGTGCCATAAGGAAACATGGATAAAGTTCTAAACTATGGCAGTGGGTAAAGAGGGATTCCAGAGACATCTGGGAGAGAAGTGACTTTGGGACCAGCGCCTACAGGGCTGAGGGATGGGAAAAGTCTTAGTGACGTGCACATTCTAGGCTTAAGAGACTGGTGCAGTGGTGTTGAATGCCATCCTGGGGTCAGGCGACTCTGCAACACCTGATTAGCTATTTCTACTAGGTCTCAGCAGAGTGGGCTTGGAGCTCAGCAGACGCCTGCACTGCAGACAGATGTGGTCACAAGTATTCCTGGGCAGGAGCCGTGCTAAAAAAGAGTAGCCAAGCAAGCCATACTAATGAGGAAGTGGACCTGGGCCATGCCAGGGAGTGATGTGGACTGACAAAATGAAGATATTCACTAATCTAAAGGGGCAGGAATAATACAGGAAAAAACCAGAAATACAGAATTTTACATGAAAGTTCCCCTTTTAAAAATGTGAAGCTGGGCAAGGTGGCACATGCCTGTAATTTCAGTACTCAGGAGACTGAGGCAGGAGGATTGTTATAAGTTCAAAGCCAGCCTGGGCTACAAAGTGATCTCAAGGCCAGCCTGAACTGCACAGCGAGACCCTGACTCAAAAAAAAAAAAAAAAAACAAAGAGTAATCGCATTCATTTTTTGTTGTGGTGATGAAATACATACCACATAAAATGCACCACTTAAGTGTACACTTCAGGGGAAGTTCCACTGTCATGCAACCACCACTATCTCTAGAACTTTTTCACCTTGCAAAACTGGAATTTTATTTGTGAAAGAACTAACTCTCCATTCTTCCCTCCTGATAGCCTATGGCAACTACCAGTCTACAGTCTGTGTCTATGAATTTAATTCCTCTGGGTACCTCTGAAATCCTATAAAATTTGTCCTTTCTGTGCCTGGCTCATTTTGCTAAGAGTAGTGTCCTTAAGGTTCATCTGTGTCATATAGCATGTTTTGGAACTTCCTTCAAACTTTTAAAGGATTGTTTGCACACTAAACGAAACACGTATCTGACCAGGAGTTTTAGCTCTGAGGCAATATCATGCCATGGTGCCTCCTTACTGAAGCATTAATTGTATTATGTTTAAAGTTGTATTTTGGAAATCAATAAAACACTACATCATGAGTCCGTCATCATCTGGCTCCCCAAAGGCTGAACTCAGCATGTCATGGGTATCAACACATGCATGTGGACACTGATACGACGACGGTGGTCCTGTGGCTAGGGTTTTCAAAACACTACGGTCAATCTTTGTTCATTGCCTGGGGTACTTGCTGACTAAATGTGCTCATGGGACACAGGTTCACAGCACACAATAACCCAACCAGCCAAAGCTGGACCTGAAGCTATGTCATTTTGGCTTCCCAAGTGGTAAATGCACAAATGTCACTAGGCACAAGTGAATAGCTTCTTGAGGCCGCTGGAGTGAGTCTATGCTTACATTCAAAACTTGAAGAAAGCAAGCTGGTTCATGGCCACATTGCTCTGAAGGAGCCCCGCAGGGTAGAATGCACAAAAATGTAAAATCAAAGGCCAAGGAAAGGCACAAACACACCAACTCCTGAGCGCTGCAACTTGGACGGTTCACATCTTGTGGGAGAACTGTAAAGGCTCTGAGCAGGAATTCCCTGAGCATGAACCAAGGGCAGTACGACACCTCACAAAAAGGAAAGCCTGTTTTCCCATTAAAGGGCTTGGTTTTAGCCACAGGGGTTTCCTGAGTCCTCTCCACCATGTCATGATTGGTCTTCAAATACCTGCTGCCTTCTTTTTTTTTTTTTTTTTTTTTTTTTGATACCAGGGATTGAACTCATGATCTCACACTTGCCATGTAGGTGCTTATACTGCTGAGCTAAATCCCTGGCCAAATGCCTGCCTTCCACTGCTCCACTCATTCTGAGCTTCTGAATGTTCCCTGAATATTTTGCACAGGTCATCTTAACAGCAAGCATTACCTAAGGGTTCTCTTTGGTTCACCCATTGTGTTCCCAGATCATTTTGCAATATTCTTCTTGGGCACCCATGGTGTGCCTTGACTATTTCCCCCAAGTTCAGTCTAGAATTTGTTAGGCACACTGCTTCTCACTGAAGGTACTGAGGTACTGGTTGTAGGGTGGGAGCAGGAGGAAGATGTGCTCTTCTACAAAGTTCTACCTTCTTTGCAAGTTGGAGAGAAGACAAATACTCTCCTTCAAGCTACAAACATGGAGGTGAAGCCTTGCTGGAAAACAAAACCCAGGCTCTAGACACAGGACCAGACAGAGTGAAGAGGCCTACAGGAGATGACACTCACCCACTTTGCAATGGGGCACCCGCGGGAGCTCTTCCCCTCCTTCCCAGTGTAGATGACCTTCTCGATCCGGATGGCTTTCCCCTTCTCTCCATACCTAGCAGGAAACAGAAGCCCTCATGAGCACAGTGGAACCTCAAAGAACAGCTTATCATAGGAAGGCAGGCTCTGGTGTGCTTTAGTTAGAGTTTCTGGCTACTATGGGGTCAACAGAGAAGAAAAATGTTTAAATGGTTATTCTCTGCTTAGAAGCTCCGGGAACACAGTGGCTGCTTCCAGGTTCCCGGGCCTTGGTAGGGCTCACCTACCCCTTGTCTACTTCTGTCCATCTGGCTCATCTCTGTCTCAAGGCAGAGGGGCAGTCAGGGAGAATGTCCCTCATTATTGCCTGAGCCTCCAGGAAGAGTTCTGAAGCCAAAGGCTAAATATAGACATTTGTCCCCAGTGTTGTTATTTGAGTCACCCTGAGAGCTAGTCACATATTCAATACACAGGAGAAAATAAACAGGAGAAAACCACATTTTTCTCTTTTAATCACCCAAGTTGACCTTTGAACATGACAAACAGCTAAGGGGAGGGAGGGACACTATCACACACAAACACTGATGCCCATGCACTGGAGGATAGTAGACACTTCTGGTTCCTGCACACACCTCTTCTCTGGCCCAAATACTTAGTGCTGCACCTCAGGCCTCTAGGACCGTCTCATTAGCTACATCATGTGGTGTAATTATGAAATTATGGCCCCAGACATAAACCAATTTACCCAAGATCACACAACTACATGAGGGCTATTGTGATCACACACAGCATGGGAGGTAGACAGACTAGGTTTAATTGCCAGTCTAGCCACTTTCTTGATATATAACCAGCCAAACTGCTGAACTTTTCAAAGCCTCAGTTTTTCCATCTCTAAAATGTAAATAAAATTTTTTTATCTCCTTGGCTTGGTAAAGATCAAATGATAATCTACACGGAGTACATTATTTACAGTGCTTCGAAATTCTTAGCATGCAGGAGTCTAATAAATATTTATAATAATATAAAAGTCACCTTACTGAACCATCCTAATCTAATAATTTTCATTTCAGGAGCACTATTATATCACACCTGCAGACAATGGTCATTTGCTACTTCCACTTTTCCATTCTTTACACCTCTGTTCAGCCTCCTGCTTCTCTGAGCTGGCCTAGTGCTTCTGACATGCTAGGAGGACTCTCTGCTTGTTTCTCAACTTCACTGAAAGTGTTCCCAGTTAATTTATCACCGAGCACGAAGCTGGCTGGGCTGGAAGAAAGACTTTCTTACTTTGAAAAATGCTATTAAGGGTTTCTATCCTAATGATTTAAATCAAGCACTAAAACTTGTATGAATTATACTTTTCTCGTCTCAGCAGACAGGTGATTGAATGGTTTTTCTTCTTTGATCAGTTAACATGGTATACTTACTAACAGATCATCTAAATCATAAATAAATTTGATTATTGCATATTTTAATATACTATGTAATGCAGCATGATGTTATTATAACTATTACAGTTTAAAATGGACATAGTCTTAATCTGATCTATTCCACTTGTGGGAATTATTACCTCAAAAATAAGTGCACATGGTATGCCACCCCCTCCCACTGCTAAATTTGACTGGCTTAAAAAAAAAATAAGTGCACAAATATATCGGGCTGGGAACAACAGTGGGAGGAGTGATTATACTTGGTTCAGTATTTCTCTATACACATATCTACATCTTTGTAAGTGCTTAGAAAGGCTGGGGTAAACATCAAACTTTGAGAAAGTTACTCCTAGGAAGAATGATTGTTAGAGAGATAGATTCACTCTGTACTTGACTTTTTCTTTAAAAAAAAAAAAGTTTCATTTTTGTAGTTAAGATAGAGAACAAAGATTTTTAAAAAATGTTGATCTAAGGCTTCCATACGATCTATTGCTCAAAAGCTCAGTGAAGGGGTAAGAAGTTCCTGGGATCATTACAACATTAAAATGTGAAGGTTTTGTTAATCTCTTACAAAAGTATTTGGAGACAGGGCCCAGAGTTTCTGTAGCGTGATCTGCATCATGAAAAAAAGATCACACACTGCTGCTTTCTGCCTGCTTCCTGGTCACTCAGTTTAGCACACATTTATCAGGCAGTCACCCAGTAGCACAGGCCTGGCGTGCCTGTCCGAGGGCAGCCTGAGGTGACCACATAACTCTCACCGAGACAGGGGACTATCAAGTTCCTCACAGTAGGGTGAGCTGAGGACACGGATGCCGGCCTTCCCACCAGGTCCTCCCCTCCCATTCTGTCCTTGGGAGAAACACGTTCTGCAGCAAGCTTCACATCAGACAGCATTTAAATAAAAGGGCTAGTCACCACCTAATCTGCTACACTTTTTTTTAAACAAAACTATTTTTGTTTAAAGACAACCAGTCAACTCATCTTTCTTCTTAAACGCTTTAATTTCTAGCTTATCATGAAAAAGCCCTTCTAGTATATAAATTCTGAGGTCCTAAACTAAGTCTGCAAGGGTAGGCTGAAATCTTTCTTTAAAGCTGGGCATGGTGGTCCACATCTGTAATTCTAGCATTCTGGGAGGCTGAGTGTTGACAGCTTAAACCCGACCTAGCAACTTATAAGATGTCTCAAAAACCAACCCAGGGCTGAGGATTTAGCTTGGTGGCATAAGCGCCTGCCTTGCAAGCAGGCAGTCGTGAGTTTGATCCTCAGTACCGATAAAAAGGAAAAAGACAACAAACAAACAAACACACAAAAAAACAACCCAATCCAACCCAAAAAACAAAAACACAATACTCCAAAGAGTGGGGATGCAGCTCAATATGAAGGTATCAGGTTTGATTTCCAGTACTCCCCCACAACAAAGTAACTAATACTCTTAACCAGGAACTCTTCAAGGATGGTACCAAGACCAGCAGCACTGGCTTCATCTCAGAACAAGGAAAGAGAGTTCAGCTCTTGGGTCCCATCCCATACTCACTGGATCAGCTAGGTAGGCCCAGTGATCTATGCATTCACAGTCCCCAGGAGCTTCTGAGGCCTGCCCAGGATTAAGAACTACTGCTTTAAAGCTGTGGCTCTCCCACCCTGCCTTGGTACTGGAGAATGAACCCACAGCCTTCACACTGAGTTACGTCTTCAGTCCCCGCAACCTTTCTTTTTGTTTTGAGACAGGTCTTGCTAAGCTGCCCAGGCTAGTCTCAAACTTTGGATCTTCCTGCGTTAACCTCCAGAGTGCTGGAATTACAGGCATGTGCCACCACGCCTTGCTGGAAACTGTGCTTCTTCAGAGTTAGCTCCACCAAAGAAAGAGGTCAGGTACCCCAAAGCACTGGTTCTTTGGTTCTATAACAAGCATTTAATGAACTCCTAGGCTGCAGAGAATCCTGTTCCCAGACACACACAAAGCTCTAGGCACCACACCATCCTCAGATATGAACTTGACAACTGATTCCAATTATCTATGACAATGAGGACACCCTGAGTACCCGAGAGGTTTGAAGCCCATAAATAAATGGGGTTATTTTAGGATGCATTTTTGTTCTCCCCCTCCTGTCTTCAAATCTGTACCACAGAAGCTGTAAGCACCAATGTCTGCTTGATTTCAGTTTATTTCTTCTCCCTGACTTTGGCCAACTCCTGACAGTAGAGTGGGCCTGCAGAGAAAGTAAGGGAAAGGTCTAGAGAAAGAGAGCCAGGCCCATTCAAACTGAGCCCCCAGACAGGGGAGTTCCCTCATTCCCACATTCTGCTCCTGGATCCAGAAAGGATCTTAGGAGGTCTATAAAATAAAAAGAATAGGTGGAGAAATCAGAGAAAAGGGGGTGGGGAGACAGATTTGTTGGTATAGAAAATATGATTGTGTGTGTGTGTGTGTGTGTGTGTGTGTGTGTGTTACTCAGGGTTGAACCCAGGCCTTCACACTGAGCTATATTTCCAGCCCCTTAGTTTTAGACAGTGTCTTGCTGGATCACTAAGTTGCCCAGGATGAACTCAAACTAGTGATCCTGCTTTGGCCTCCCAGTGTTGGGATTATAGATGTCCACTGCTTTGGCCTCCCAGTGTTGGGATTATAGATGTCCACTGCCATGCCAGACCATGTTTCTGAGAGGTGAGCCTGGAGTATTTTGTCATCCAGGAAATCAAAACTATTAAGGTCTCCCTGTCAGACGTACTCACAAGTGACCTGAAGAGGTCTCCATGGCCAAAGGTCAGGCACCACATTCTGGGGGTGGGAGTGGGGGTGGGCACGAACTCTGGTTCTAAAGTTGTTAGTGGCCAAAATAAATATGGAAATGCAATCTGTTTATGACTTACAAGGTCTTTAGGATAAAAATAAACCAGTTGCTGAGAAAAAGCACAAATATTCCTGGTCTTGAGAGGAATTCCTCCTTTGGACCAATTTTTGAAGACTTTACAGTTGGCTGTTACAATTTTTAAAGCAATGGGGGGGGCTCCACAAATCTCAACTTTATCATTATGTCTTGATCCTTGTTTCAAAATGTACTGTTCTATAATTGAAGTGGTTAGAGGTATCTATAAATCTTATAAATTACCCTCCAAAAAAGCAAAATCAAAAAATAAACACTGATCCCAGATCAAATGTAAACATTGAACTCCTCTGCAGCAACCAATCATGTTGACTTTCCTTATAAAAATGACGGGCAAATGCTGCCTGGCTCAGTTTGGAAACTGCAGCACACACATGTGGACATGCAGCAAACGCTGTTTGACCCAGTTTTGTCCTCAAGGGCTCAGAAGTGTCCCTTAAATCAGGATGGGATTCACAGAATGGGCCTTTGGTCAGATACTTTTATGATTGGTTACTCTGAATTTGAATGTCAATATATACTTAGGATATATTTAACCACTAACAACAACAAAATATAAATGTTTTCAGATGCTATCGGAAATTAAGAAGACTATGATAGACCAGTGACCTCCACCCACTGTACTTCTCAGGTACTCAGTTCAAAATCACGTTCCCTCTGTACCAGCAGGACTGGTTTGGCTCCCCTCGTCAGACAAACTCTGGTTCCCAAATCTGTAGAAATCAGTCTTCCCATATTACCTTTACACATATAACCAACGTGTTTGTGTCTGTATCACTATTGCTATTGTTTTATTTAAAATACCACTGTTTTCTATGTAACAAATGCAATCAGTGTATGAAGTATATGAGGTAGACAAAGTCTGCCCACCCCTTACATGGTATTTGCGACAAATACTAACTATGCCTCGTGAATCCGCTCAGTCTACCCTAGAACCCTCCCACAAGTGTATTTCTGCAGTTTATTCCCACAGTGCTTCCGTAATGTGTGTGCTTTTATCATCATTTCTATTTGTACATAAGAAAGCTGAGTCACAGAGGAATATACCAATTATCTAAAGACTCGGCAGTACACGGCAGGGCTAGCACTAGACCCCCGTCTAGCACCAGCATCTACGTTCTCACCCACCAAGCTGTATTACCTCTGAACAGACCAAAACTCAAGAATATCTACTGCCTGCTGTGGACATGCACATCAATTTGGGCTCTTAGCCGTAAGAACAACTAAATCATAAGTGTGACATAAAAACTTTAGGTTTTTTTTCTTTTTCTTTTTGGTACTGGGAATTGAAGGCAAGACCTTGTACTTGCTAGGCAGGCACTTATACCACTGAGCTATAAACCTGGCCCCTAAACTCTCCAGTTTTGAATTTGAATGCCAATATAAACTTATGACATATTTAACCACTAACAACGACAAAAATTAAAACTGTACACAACAATTAAAGTTGTATTAGGTATAATTTAGGTCTTTCTACTGAAACTAGGAAAACAATAAACAACTCACTGTCACAGTGAGTACCCTTTGTACCCAGAGTCTGTTTTCTAAATACTTTTTCTGCCACTAAAAGGAATCAAGACTTTTTGGGTAAATGTACATGAGCCCAGAAGATTTTGACATACTAGAAACAAAGACATGACAGTACCTATGAAGTATTTCTGTGGGAGGGAGCGGGGAGGGACTGAGGAGGAGACAGAGGGTGACAGGGTGGGAGGGAGGGGAGGGAATGAGAGAGGGGGAGAGAGAGAGGGAGGGGGATGGGGAGAAGGGGAGAGGGAGGTGAGGGGGAGGGGGGAGGGGAGGGGGAGGGGAGGCGGAGGAGACAGAGAAGAGGCAGGAGGAGAAGGAAGAAAGAGAGGGAAGGGAGGAGAAACAAAAACAACCTGATTCCAATCAGGCCTTTAGCTCTACCTACCAGTTTATAGGACTTAGAGCAAGAAGAGCATGTTAAATAACACTATAAGCAAAACTCAGCAACTGTGGGAAGCTCACACTGCAGGACATATAACCACACAGCCCTGTTCATCAATAAAAATATTTCAGGAAGAAGGAAAAGGGGGCTTGTGGAGGACTAACATACACAAGTAGACTGAACGAAACCTAGAAAGACTGAAAGCGAGCTTCCCACATTCGCCCTGTCACAGTATGGAGAAGGGGACTTCCTTTTTGTGTACAAGGCAATGAAAATGACAGGTGCTTGAAATCCACATCCCTGTAACCCCACCCTTCGTCCTGGAGTATCTGTAATACTCACCGCTCCTCCATGAGTTCCCGGATAGAAGCTACTGTGGGGCCAGATCCCAGGTGAGTATAATATGGACCTTCATCTTTCTCCACTATTTGCTCTGCAAAAACAACAAGAGTATTATTTGAAGATATTCAGTAGGAGTATTAATAGGCATGTTATAAAGCAGGAAACTCAAGTGGTTCATAATTATGTGAAACATATTCCAATCCTTCAGAAACCAGGAAATACAATAAAATTGTAATAAAACAACATCATTACATGTCCCCATTAATGGATAAAGATTTAGAAATTTGAAAATGCCAAGTGTTGTCAAGACTGTATTCTAACCACTGTGCAATTCATCTCACCAGTTACCCAGTAAAGCTAAACTGTTGCATACGTTTGATCCCGCAGGTCCACTTCTAAATGCTCACTCTAGAGCAGCATCAGCAAGCTAGTCAGAGTAAACTACAAAAGGGACTCAATGTAGATGCTCACAGTAGCATCATTTACAACCAAGGGATGTAAACACCACAACTGCCCATCAACGGATGGAAACATTAAATGTTGTGTATTCATACAATGGCATATTATTCACTCTGAAAAAAGAAAGGAAGTTCTCGTAAATGCCATTATATGGATGAACCTTGAAATATAAAGTAAAATACATCAAACACTAAAGGACAATTGAGCACAGTGGTGCACGCCAGTAATCCCAGCACTCGAGAGGCTGAGGTAGGAAGACGGCTACAAATTCAAGGCCAGCCTGGGCTACATAGTGAGTCCGGGACCAGTTTGAACTAGTGAGACCCAAAACAAAAACACAAAAAATTCTCACACAAAGGGACAAATACTATTCACTTACACTTACACTAATTATCTAGAAGAGGAAAATTCATAAAGACAAAAAGTAGACTAGAGGTTATCAGGGACTGAAATGAGGAACAGAGTTATTGCTCAACAGAGTTTCTGTTTAGGGTGATGAAAAAGTTTTGGAAATAGTGGTGACAGTTGCACAATATTTTGAATGTCACTACATGATATCCACACTTAAATATGATTAAAGAGGCCAATGTTATATTTTATATATTTTAGCATAATTAAACAAATAAGTACTAACACATACTGTAATATACATAAGCCTTGAAAACGTTATCAGCGAAATCTTGTATCAGCAAGATACAAGAAGATCCACTGATTTGAAATACTTGAGACAGATAAATATATAAAACCAAAAAGCAGATGATAGCTGCAGGGACTTAGGTGCAGGAGGAGGAGACAGAGTGTGACTGTTTAACCAGCGGATTGAATTTTGGAGCAATGTAAATGTTTTGTAACTTGACAAGTGGTGCTCATGCAACACTGAAAATACCCCACCCTGCTGAAGGGTTCACTTTAAAATGGTTAATTTCATAGTATGTGAAGTTCAGGTCAATTTTAAAAAATGAACACACTATTGATTCAAGTAAAAACATGTGGTACCATCAACTGAACACTGAGTTACATCCCCAGCCCTTATTTTTTATGAGACGGGGTCTTGCTGAGTCACTAAATTTCCAAGAAGTGAGGTCCCAAGTTGTGAATTTGCTGCCTCAGGCTCCCTGAGATTACAGGCATACAGCATGTCTGGATTTTTCTTGGGGGGGGGGTGGCACACTGAGGATGGAAGCCAGGGCCTCTGCACTGAGTTACACCCCCGGGACTTCCCACTTCTTTAAGACAGAGTCTTGCAAAGTCACCATGTTGCTCAAACTTGCAGTCATCCTGTCTCTGTCTCCCAGAGGACTGAGGTTTCAGGCCTGTGCTACCATGCTCAGCCCATGAGTGAGTTTTAAATGAATTTTTCTAAGTGAAGAAAATAAGACTCCAAAGGCTACATAATAGTAACTTTGAAAAAAGGGTTCTGATTAAATACTACAAGGCTAAAAGCAAGAACAACTATACACATATTAGTATGCATACTACACCTCAGTTGATACGTTTCATACCTAAGAAAATATGACAATTAAATGCAACACAGTCTCCTACATTGAATTCTAGAACACAAAAAGGATATTAGTGGGAAAATCTGTTAAAAATTTAAAAATCTGTCTTTAATAGCACTGTACCAACATTAAGGTCTTAGTTTTATATATATGTAAGACATATATATTACAGAAAACAAGTAAAGGTATACAGAAATACTCTACCAACTTTGCAACCTCCTATAAACAAAATTATTTCAAAATAGAAAAGGTTTGTTGTTTTTTGTGAAAGGGTCTCACTGTATAGTTCAAATTGGCCTCAAATTCATGACAATTCTCCTGCCTCAGCCTCCTTGAGATTACAGGCATGTGGCACCACATCTGGCTGTAAGTTAATCTGCCATCTTGTACTATAAGAAATTCTCATCACACACAGCAAAACACATATAAAAGAGTTCTCATAGTTGCAGTATTTGCAATTCAAATCAAAACTGGAAACAAACTGCTTTGGGTGATTGGTATACTGTGACCTCCCAAAGTCATTTGCTGAAGCCTAACCCCCAGGGGGATAGTAACAGGAAGTGAGGCTTTGAGAGCCAGATCAAGAGAGTGTGGCCTTGGTGAATAAAATTAATGCTCTTTACAAGTAGAGACATAGGGTGAATACACCCTCACCTCAAAACCCTCAGGCCAAATGAGGACACAGAGAAAATGTGGCTGTCTGCAAGCCAGAAAGTGGGCTCTCACCAGATACTGGATCTGTTGGCACTTGGACTTTGGAATTCCCAGTCTTCAGGATTGTGGAAAATACACCAGCATATGGTATTTTTGTTACAGCAGCACAAACTAAACACCATCCATAATCCAGCAACAGTGGAATGGATAAATAAAACACAGTAGTCACACAATGGAATAAATCCATCTAGCAATGAGAATCAACAACTTGTATCCCGATGGCTGACTTCTACAACATAGTCAAAGATCCCCAAAAGAGTACAAAAAAATGCCATAAGTCAATAAAATATATTTAAAGCAGCTCAGCGAAGTTACACTGTTTAAAGATTCAGAGGTAAAATTATGAGGCTGAAAAATGAACCTACAGATATTCAATGATTTGTTACTTATAAAAATGGCAATTTTCATATCATTCAACCTCGAGACAAAGAAAGGCAGAGTAATGTCATGAAAGCCAACAGTATGATGGTCCCTGAGGAGTGGGACAGGAACGTAACTAAGAGAATACAGAGAACCCTGGAGAGTTAGAGATGGTATATTTCTCGATCTAGGTTCCTGGTGGCAAACCTACAGCATGCATGATGCCGCCAGCTGTTTGTTATCCTTGAAAGTCCTAGAAGGGCTTCCTGATCTACGTGGCTATCCAAGTGTTCATTTTATAAATTGTCACTGAACTGTACATAAATGTTTTACGTACCGTCATGTATAAAACTCAAGATCTTTAAAACCTAAGAAACTTTGTTTTTCAGTACTGAGGAATAGGCCTTCATACTGAGCCACACACTTAGTCTTTTTTATTTTGAGTCAGGGTGTTGATAAATTGCTGAGGTGCCCAAGTTGGCTCAGATCTGCAATCCTCCTGTTTTGACTTTCCAGATTGCTGAGATTACAGGTATACACTGCCGATTTCTACCTGTCTTTGCAGAATATTATGCTCAGTTTTATGGAGGACGTAAGACTGGATAATACTCAATTACTATCTTTAAAAGTGTATGACTTAGCTGGTTAGAGAAGATCCACACGTAAGCACTTAATGTGCTGCATATCAACAAGGAAAAGATAAAATCTCAGAGCACAGTCTTGGGATAAGTGGGGGCCAAAATGATCCATATTTGAAAGAGTCAAAAAATATGCCAGTGCTGGAAAAAAAACAGGAAGATGTTTTAAAAATAATCTTTGATAAGGTACAACATGAAAAAACCCTGAAAAATTTAACTAAAGAAAACTTTATAGTAATAACATCAAAAGTCAAGCTGAATACAGACAGCATGCTGGAAAGAAGTATCTAGAATTTGCACCAAACAAATACCTGATTAAGATCACTAATGTAAAAAAAATGAGAAAAAAAGATAAAAATGAATTTGAGAGACATGTAAATGGCTCAATCACACATAAAGCTACACTAAGATACCATCCTCCTCCTTTCATATGAGTCATTAAAAATCCTGATAGTTCATTTTGTTGTTGAGGGTACCAGAAATAAACAATATGAGAAGCATTTAACAATATAGTAAAAGTACAAATGCATAATCTATTTGATCCAGCAATTTCAAAAGAATTTATTTCTAGGAATTTGGTTACACTTGCATATGTTTCAAATAAGTACACATGAATATTCATTGTATCATTATAATGGAAAAAATCAGAAACTTAAATGTCTATCATTAAGAACTGGCTAAACAGATTATGTCACATCCCTATAATGAGATCATAAATAGCTAGAATTAGGCAGCTGCAGATTTACTGACAGAAAATTATTTCCAAGGTATTTGGTGGGGTGCAGATTTTCAGTATAACAAGTATAGCATGCTGGAGTTAGCATATATATACAATCACACATACACTAAAAATAGCAGAGTAACATGCAAATATAAACTGAGCTCAGCAGTGCTCCTGGTATTTTTTTTTTAAAGGTTAGCCCAGGTGTAGTGGCATACACCTTAAATCTCAGCTCTGAGGCTCAGGCAGAAAGACTGCTGCAAGTTCAAGGCCAGCCTGAACTACATACCAAGACTCTACCTCAAAAAACAAGACAGCCAGGAATTTAGCTCAGTGGCATAAGCGCCTGCTTGGCAAGCGCAAGGTCATGAGTTCAATCCCTGGTATAGAAAAAGAAAGAAAAAAAAAAGAGCAACATTATGTGCAGCCCATCAGATGAATGGATCAAAGTTGCCTCCCACTTACATCCCTTGCTCATGAAGGCTGTCACTCATCCCTCCCCATCCTGGTCAGGCTCTTGCCTGAATTATCATCATGGTCTCCTAACTGGTCTCCTTTCTTCTACATCATCCTATCCAGTAAACACCAGTTATGTTTCCAAAACAGAAATCTCACACTATTTTTCACTGAATGACTCCACACTAGACAGAAAACAGAACCGAAGTTCCACAGCACTGTCCTTAGCTCCCTTCGCACAACT